ACAACCCTTGTTGCTTCCCAGGCCGATAAGTAATAACAAAGTCGAACTTGGATAGCGACATACTCCACCGAGCTTGACGCCGATTCAAAACCCGAGCCGACATAAAATACTCCAAATTCTTGTGATCCGTATATACGGTCACTGGATGTGCAGTTCCTTCGAGAAAGTGGTGCCACTCTTGTAAAGAATCCACTATAGCAAGGAGTTCCTTATCGTGGATCTCATAGTTGATCTCAGCAGCAGAGAATTTTCGAGAATAGAACGCAACGGGATGGAGCTTCTCATCTATGTCCATCTGTGAAAGTACAGCTCCCAAAGCAAAATCCGAAGCATCTGTCTCCAAATAAAAGGCCTTTGTAAAGTCTGGATGTACCAAGATTGGAGCTGTAGTAAATACCATCTTCAAATCTTGAAATGTTTTTTCTGCGATAGGTCCCCATTCGAGCTTGTTCTTGCACGTTAACCGAGTGAGGGGGGCAGCAACTTGAGAATAATTCTTGATGAAGATCCAATAGTAGTTAGCAAATCCAAGAAAATATTGTACGTCCCTAACCATCTTCGGAACTTCCCAAGACATGATTGCTTCCACCTTCTTTGGATCCATCTTCAATCCTTCCGTAGTCGCGATGAATCCCAAAAACTCCATCTCAGTTTGGTGAAATAAGCACTTCTCCAATTTGGCATAGAGTCCTCGCTCCCGTAGTTTTTTGAGTAGCAGACGAACGTGCTTCTCATGTTCTTCCTCGTTCTTAGAAAATATCAAAATATCATCTAGATAGATGACAACAAAATCGTCTAGATGCTCTCGAAAGATGTCATTCATCATGTGTTGAAAGACCGCTGGAGCATTAGTAAGACCAAATGGCATGAAATTGTATTCAAAATGGCCATACCTTGTTCGGAACGCTGTCTTCCATTCATCTCCTTCCTTAATTCGCACAAGGTTGTAAGCTCCCCTTAGGTCAATCTTTGTAAAGATCCTTGCACGCCCAAGTTGTTCTAGAAGACCAGAGATCAAAGGCAGTGGGTAGCGATTCTTTTTTGTCACCTTGTTGAGACCTCGATAGTCCACACACATCCGTAGTGAGCCATCCTTCTTCTTCACAAATAAGATTGGTGCCCCAGCTGGCGACTTCGAATGACGGATGAAGTTCTTGGCTAGATTCTCGTCAATGTACTTCCACAACTCAGTCAACTCCGTGTGCGACAAATTGTAGATTGGTCCAAAAGGTGGTTGTGCTCCTTCTTGCAATTCAATGGCATAGTCATAGGGTCGATGCTCTGGCAGCATATCAGCATTCTTCTTTTCAAAGACATCTTTGAATTCTTCATACTGCTTTGGAATAACCAAAGTCGGAGTTGCATCTTCTCGAGTCGGAGTTGCAAAGATGACAAGAGGTGTATTTTGCTTGGCTTCCTTCATGAAAGCCCTTGCACCTATAAACAAGGATTTGTTTCTAGACATTGTCTTGACAGATTCCACCTTCAAGGAGTTTGTTGGAAATGTCACTTTCCGCAACTTCCAATCTATCAATGGATTATATCTATCAAGCCAAGATAGTTCCAAAATGATAGGACATGAAGGGGTCTTGATAACATTAAACACAATATTGCTCTCATGGTTTTCAAGACGTACCTTCAATGGTTTAGTTTCATGGATAACATTGCCCGAAGACAATGGTCGTCCATCTATGACTTCTACATGGACAGGCTTAAGTTTCTTTACAAGAGAAATATTGTGAAGCTTGGCAAACTCTTCATCTATAAAGCAAGCGGATGCACCCGAGTCTAATAAAGCATCGACTTGTAGTTCTTGAATACCCAGATGTAAAGGTACCATAAAACAATCTGAAGGTTGAGCTGAGAGAAAGGGACCTTGATTAATTTTGGATGTTGAGATGTCCAGCCGCACGGTCCCTATTGTGGCTGGGCGTCCTTGTTTTCTTGCATGCTTGTACTCCTGAGTCTTGTTGTTTGAGGCTTCTGTTTCTTCCGACAATCTACAGCTTTATGGCCCGCTTCTCCGCAATATAAACACAAGTTTTGTTCAAACCGTCGCTTCCTTTCCTCAGCTATGAGGGGTTTGAAATGTACCGCATCAATTTGCATGGGTTCAGGATCTGTGGAGTGATTCTCTGGACCTTTTGAAAATGTAGCAAATGCTCTATCATTTCTCCAGCTTGATCGTCTTTCTTGTCGTAATTCAAAGAGGCGGTTGTCACAAATAATTGCGATATAAGTTCTTCTAAAGTATCCACCTTAGGCATGGTGATCAATAAGTTCTTGACATCATCTCTCAGTCCATATCAAAATCGTGTTATGAACGCCTTATCATTCCAATCAAGATCACATGTAAGCTGTTGAAATTCTGCAGCATAGATTGCAGCAGAACATGATCCTTGTCGCAGATTTTGTATCTTTCTTTCAGCCACTCTTTCTCGATCGCTATCTCCAAACGCAGCAGTAAGTCTCTCTATGAAAGCCTCTAGGTCGTACAATATTGGAGAATCCTTCTCCAATAGTGGAGCAAGCCAAGAGCGAGCATTTCCTGATAGAAGAGTACCTATGAAAGCAACCTGGGTAAATCCATTCGGATAACGAGAAGGGTATAGGCGTAGGTAAAGCCGTACTTGTTGCACAAAACCTCGAAAGTTGGCTCTTGTTCCGTCAAACTTGTCTGGCATACTCGCTTTTGGTTCTTTCGTACTAATCCTTGAAGTATCTATAGGGGTCGTATGTGACACATGTCTTGCTTTTCTCAGTCGAATAATCTCTTGTTGTAGGCTATGAATTTCGCGTCTAGCTTCTTCGGTCACTAGATCAATTTGAGGTTCTTTACTTGGATTGCGAAGAAATGCAATCTCCTTTCGTACACTATTCATAAGAGCTTGAAGATCTGCAAGAGTTGCCACTCTATTGTCTACTTGTGGAGATGCACTATCTATGACCTGGTCTACTTCCATATTTAGAGAATAGATGGATTAAAATTTTGAAAGAAGAAGAAATTGCTAAGTCTCTTGGAGAAAATTGTAGCACTACCTGTTACTAAAACCTACTCGGAGAAAAGGAAAAAAAAAAACACTAAACGATTTCAGTTTTAGAGGAGGGTAATCCGCAACCTCTAAAAATGCCTCAATGCTTTCGAGAAGAGGGATAATCCGCACTCTATCAAGAAGGCAAAGCTCTGAAATCGATGTTAACAGTCTTTTCTACTAGCTATGCTAAACAAAAAGAAGGAATTAATATCAGTCCAAGAGAGGGTAATCCGCAACCCTTAGAACACTCAAGTATCTCCAAGGAAAGGGGTAGTCCACTCTCTGCCTCAAAGAACTAAGCTCTGATATTGTGATTGAGAAAATATCAGTTTAGAGGAAGGTAATCCGCAACCCCTAAAGCACTAGAATACCTTCAAGAAGAGGGGTAATCCGCTCTCAAACAAGAAGGATTCAGCTCTGATATTAAGATAAAGGTAGTCTCGACAAACTGTCACGGACACAAAATACAGACTTGAAATCTAACAAGAAGTTCAAGAAGAAGTGGCAGAACTAGATTAAACAGATGAGTACAAGAACAACACTAGAAAGGTGAGCTAGAACTCCAAGAGATGTGTTGTCGAGACTGAAGAACTCTTCAGCCTCGACTCCTATATATACTACTGGCCTATGGTTCTAAGGAAGCGCATCAAGAAGCTTCCCAAGAACTATGAAGCTTCTCGAGCAACTATCCAAGAGCTAGGAAGCTTCTCAAGTAACTTCCTAGAATCTACTAGAATATTCTAAGAATCTTCTAGAGCCTTCTAAAGGAATCTTTAAGAAATTTTTAAAGAATCTTTAGAGAATCTTTGAAGAATATTCTAAGAGAATATTCAAGGAATCTTCTTCAAGTTTCTAGAGACTTCTTTCTAGAAGGTTCTAGAAACTTGTCTCTAGAAAGGTCTAAGGACTATGTCCCTAACAATCCTCCATGGTAAATAAGAAAAATTGATATTATCTCTATGTAAATTCTTGATTTGAACCAAATATTTTTTGTGATTGTAATTAAATTTTAACTAATTTTAATTATAAGTGCTAATAATATATATATATATATATATATATATCAATTGAATAAAACAAAAAATGTATATCCATTGATAATTGAAAGATGATATTTAATCATAAATTATATTTAAAATCACACTTTGTTATTTTAATCAAATATACATGTGAAAAGTAATATATTATAAATATAATATTATATTAACAATTATCTTTTCACACATAGATTAGATATTTTAACCATTGATAAAATAATTTTTATTAATATTTTAAAATTATGCAATCTTACTTATCATAAGTACACAATCTTTTACCAGAATTTCATTGGATACATATGTAATAAACAGATCGGCCTTCAGAAGTAAATGAAACAATAAAAGACTCAAATAATTACTTCATAAATTAAATTTAAAAACAAACATAGTTGGTCGAAACTAGCCAAATATGACAGGATACTTTTATCACACATTCTACCTGTACATTTTATTATTTTGTTATGCAGTACCTATTGAATATAATAATGACTGAAAAGTAGTTCAATGACTCAAAATGAGCTATTATGACACACAGAATGGACTTCAATAATAATACGCATTAGGCTTTAAAAAATAAAAACATACTTAAACATACTTAAACAACAACAAATAAAACAAAACAAAACAAAATCCATTTAATTCTGCTGCAAAACAAATGTAAAAAGCAGAACATGCTACACTAACTGATAAGCAATAGTATTAAAATCAGGCAGATGTATAAATTCAATTACTACTTTTACACAATTTGGAAAATACTTGGAGAAACAAAACATATTCCACAAAAAATTTACTCACTTCATCATTACACGCATCCACACTGGTTGATTCTCTAGGATATTTAGTAAGGTAACATCTTTGAAGTGGTCATATTTTCAGGTTCACTACTGATGAGGAGACGTTTTGGAAAACAGGCAATTTACAACAAATATTTCTGATAATGCAAATGGAAAGCTGTGTGTACAGCCTCATAATCAATTAGAATTGCTAATAACATATCGAAAAGTAACACTGGAAGTAAGACCCCGATATACTACAGGAGTTCATGTAGGGCAATAAATAACCCACTAACAAGGACCAGTACTACAGCCTCAACCTACAAACTCCAAAAACCTGAGACCTTTCGACAACCACGTGTTGATCGAGAAGTTGTGAATAACTCCTTTCTATCAGCAGCCACTAAGTTTCTTAAGAGTAAAAGCAATTAAAATGGTGCTTACTTTCGTGGGAATTATTATACAGGCTTACGGTTGTTGATCGTGACGCGCCAGGAGTGAGCTCGACATGATATGCATCTCCACCGTTCCAAGACGAAAGAGTTGAATGTAGCTTTTCCTTCGAAGGTCCAAGACTATTCAACCTTTCAGTGTCGTCCAGATTCAGTCTCCTGTAACAGACTTGCTTTAAAATGTGGAACACGGCAGTGAACTATTTAGTTGATGTCGTACCGTGGATTTGATTGGTCGCGGTAACGAGCGAGCCCCTGGATTTACAAAGTTTGGATTTTAAAAATAAATAAATTGTGACAGCTTAAGGGTGTAAAATATGGGTCAGCCCGCAAAACCAAAGCATGAGAGATGCACATGATATTCCATGGTTTCGAAATTCTAGAACTTTTCTCTGACCTGTGTTAAAGCGTAGACACCATGAACCGTTGGTCCAACCGGACTTCCCCTGCGGAGGAATTTTGAGCCCTTGAGAGTGTAAAGCATGGGAATGCCTGTTGAAAGCTCAAGCTCGATGACCTCCTTTGAGGTAAGTTTGTCCAAGAACATGATGATGGCACGCAAAGAATTGCCATGGGCTGCGATCATTATGTTCTTCCCAGCCTTCAGCTCTGGAACCACCTGCTCCGACAGCATCCATCGCTGGGTCTAAGAATTCAATTCTAGAAGGACGGATAACCCGAGACCATCAAAGGGATAAGCTCATAGTAGACTTTTCAGTCTCATAGATTTACAATAAGACAGGGTTTGTGATTCTTACGTTCTCCACGAAATACTTGACAGCACGCTCAGCACACATCTCAAGGCTCTCTCCATGGGGAGGAGGTATGTCGTAACTACGACGCCACTCCTTGACTTTCTCATTGCCGAATTTTTCAGCAGTCTCTGCCTTGTTCAAGCCCTGCAATTCACCATACCTGTACACAGCAAACATAGCATGCACTATTCAATTTTCACTGCACTCTTTTTGAATCCTTGAAATCACTGCCCAACTCGTCAGAAACAGGCTTGAGGCAAAACCCTCTTAACTCAGAGCTTAACACCACGATCCACGGTTGAAAGGATTCAGAGGAAAAGCATCAGGCCACCTCATAAGAGGAGTGACGTGCTAATCCAAAATGCATATTGTAACAATTTTCGGTGCTTAGAAAATACTAGCAGTGCTTCAAAAACGAAAGTAACACTTCGATCTTCATCGTGAAGCTCTCTGGAGCCAACGCCCTGAAGGTTTAACGTTTGTCTCTGGAATTCACACACGACGCCCCAGCAAAACTGGGTAAGAGAGAAATGATCAGGAAAGTGTGACTACATGCGCTCATTGAGCTGCCACGCAGTGACCACGGGGATGACCTCGTCCGTGTCGCTGAAGATTCTGCTCCACGCCTCTGCCCTCTCACTTTCGTTGTGAAGGATGACTGGCACCTGAAGGACAAGAGCCCAGGCCATTTCATTAAGCCACTTCCATAACAAATGCACGACTGTGCGGTCACCTTGTGGTGGATTCAAATAAAGCATGATAACATCGAAATATTGGGAAGAAAGAGGCGCTCACTTTCTGACGATGGTGTTGAGTCATAGCAAGCATTGCAGTCATCTGTGCCCGAATAAGCGCCGAGGTGAAGATCATATCTACGGGGAGCTCGCTAATACACTTGCCCGCTTCGATCGCTTCATCCACACCCTTTTGAGACAAAGGAACGTCCACACATCCAGTAAAAAGATTCTTCGAGTTCCATAGCGACTCTCCATGACGGATCAAAATCAACGCTGACTCCCCTGCAACCAACGCAAACAGACTCGCCCGTGAGTACCACGCCAAAACCAGAACTAGAAGCCCCGTAATATTCTACCAGACAACAAATAACACAGGTTTCTAACGACCAGACCGCACTCCAATCTGCTGGTTGGTTTTCCCACCGGGTGAATATCTATACTAAGCGGAGATTGCGAGGGAGGGGCGATGAAAAATACTGGTAGAGGTAGAGGAGCCATTGCCGTTGGCAACGATAGTTTCGGCAGATTGTTGCAAAGTACACGAGACGATTGCTCGGCGCCCACGTGAGACCCCTGACGATAACGGGATGCGAACTCCGTTCAAGGTTGGCGTCGCCTTCAGAGTACTCACAGCCTTGAGAACTGCGCAGCGGCTTGTCCACTGCGTCGAATGGAGCTGGTTCGTAGGGCGCAATGCCACAGAAGCAGAAGAAGCAGAGCAGAAAGCAGACGCAGCTGCCATAGCTGCGACAGGAACGAAGTGGACAACGTCGAGGCAGCTCTAGAGAATGAGGGGCTGGAATGGGGACGGAGAGACGACGAGGCCGAGGTGGGAGGAAGCAAAACACGCGAGCGAAGGCGAAATGTCACTTATTATTAGTCTGGGAGGAGGACCAGAGAGCACCCCAACATTGAACAGACTCGTCAGCCTTTGCCTCCAACTTTTTACCCTTTTCAGCGAATATGAGAAGGTTCCACTTCGCTACAGATGTTTTCTCGTGGCTTTTAGGGGACCATCTCAACCTAGATTAGTTCCATTCATGCACTTTTGCTCTCTGTTTCCCACCACCATTTTGTACGCTACCGCCGCACCGGCGTGGCCGAAGAAGGATGTTATCAAATTATTCAATCCCCCCTAGTTTTTCGTTTTCTCTATTTCCACAATTTCAGAAACTCGTTAACGCATGTTGTTGTCGCCTCACGTATTTCCTGCCATTGAGCCCATCCACCAACCAGTTCCCATGGACGTCAACCAACGGGTGACTAAGAAACAGCTTTTTTGCCGCGATTTGACTTGGACTTAACTCGACTCAGCGAGAGCAATCGCGACCGACGGGCGATGACACCCATGCGAGGGTCTACAAGGTGGGAGAAAAGTGAAACGGAGAATTGAGAGAAATGAACACGGGCATGGGGCTTGCATGGGTTTCCGGCAACTAGAGTCCGAGGACTTGGACTCCGTGGACTCCGGGTCGTGAATCCTGAGGCGTGATGAGTGGTCGTCAACAGCTGGAAGCCACGCGAGAAAGACAAAATTGCTGCAACCTCGGCGTCGTCGCGTTCATCGACCCCGTGGATCCCCACTTGGACGCCGCGGAAGGGGAAAATTCATGGGCCCCATAGCTTAGTCTCCTACACAACGAGCCATCTTTCACAAAACCCTAGCCATCCCATCGCCACGTCCATGAACCCCTTCTTTTAGGGTTTCGTCGCCCATCGGTCGTCCACCGACGAGGAAGCCATCGATCGTCGATCATCTCCGTCGTCGTCCGAGTCCGTCGTGGTTCTGTCAACGTGGTAAATATCGTCTCCCTAGATAACCAGTTTTGTGGATTTCTTTTAGAAGTATCAATTGCTTCAGAATATAGATAAATTTAATTTATTTAGAGAATTGTGAATTGATCCATCCTTTTGCTAAATTAACCCATCCAAACAAGAATCAAGAATGAGGGGTTCAACACCCTCTTGCAAATCAAGAAAAGTTATGAAATTGGAGCCCATGAAGCCCTTCCATTACAGCAAATACCCAAAGCACGCTCACAAAACAATGAAATTGGGCACACATTCCCTTGATTTAGTAAAATAGTAGGCCAAATTAACTAACTCTTTGATTACTTAATTCATTTTTAAATATCATTTCTATGTGAGTCTCTGGTTACTATTATTTATCTTTTTATGTTGTTGTGGTTGTTGTTGTAGAAAGTAATAATTTTTTTTATGCTAGAAAAACCATTTTTAAAATGATTAATGTTATTTGTAGAATTGTAATTTTGAATTATCAAGTAAAGATTTATGATCTTATATCTGCAACTTTTTATTTATTTATCTTGCTATTATAACAATAGTTACATTTTATTCATTTATATAAATTTTTATTTAAAGTGTCATTTTGTATAAGTTTTTAGAAAAAAATTATTTACTAATTTTTTAATATCATAGTTTATAATTTTGATATTTTTGATTGATTTTGTTTTGAATAAGATATAAAACAAATCTCTTGATTAAGTTTAAGGCATTGCTCTTAATATTTATTTAAATGATAAATTATATACCTAAGACTAAATTAAGATTGGTTTTTTTAAAATCTATCAACAAAAAAGTATATATTTTTTTTAAAACTTTTTGTGAAAAAATTATATTTTTTTTAACAAATGACACTAACATAATATTTTTTTAAATAGTAAATGGATTAATTTTAAAATTTTAAAATTAATAAGTTGGTGGATTGTTAATTATTAAAAAAATATGAATTTTTTTTCATTAATTGGAATTAATGATAAAACTTGCTCAAATTTTGTGATAGAAGATTTTTTTTTTATTTAACTTGTACCTATTACTTTACATATTTGAATCTTTATTTAAAATTTCAACTAATATTTTTTTAGAAAATTAAAAATTTATAATCTACCAAATTAAATCAGATTTATATCTTTTGGAATTTATATATGTAAATATTATTCTTTGAACTAGTTTCAAAGTACTCTTATTAATATAAAATTATGCACAAATGAAAAGGTATCTTTTCATTATTATAAAATACTTCTTGATGATTTTAATTTAAGTAGTTTTTAATATCTTAGAACAATTACAAATACTATTAATATGTGTTGTAACATTTTTTTTTAAATGTAACTTAATATATAATTATAAAAATAATCAAATTAAAAAGTTCTAAAAGCATATTATTTAGAATAGTTGATTTTATGAATTAAATATGAAACAAATTAGATAAAGAAATAGATTATCTTTAAGATAGAATTAGAAAATCTTTTATTACTAAATACTTGTTCTATTACCATTAACTTTAATAAGATTTTTTTTATTAAATTGGTATTGATCTATATCTCTTATATAAACAATTTATGTAGAGACAAATATATGTATGATAAACTAGAAGAGACAAAAACTATGTCTAATTGGTTGCATCTTTCATTTTTTTCATTAAAAGTAAAGAAATTTTTTATAAATGTATAGGACCTTAACAACACATTTGATTCATTGCACTTAAGATCATTCAATGTTATTACAGAGTTTGTATTGTTTTCATTAAAAAATAATCTCTACAATTGAAGTCATTTGATATTGTTGAGATCATTTGATGTGGATGTTGATTATTGCCTTCATTTTAAAAAAAAATGTCTAAGAGTTCAACATCACACTTGGTGTTAATAGTCTAGAGAAATGACTAACTTGATCATTGTTGTAGCATTTTTGTGTTGCATTGGTAGATAAATATTCCTTCTTATGAAAATTCCTGCATATTAATTACTTACAAAAGTTATTTCTTTGGCACTAAGTCAATTTTTGGTTTTTGCAATTTAAATGTCCATGCCACTTAACTCTACATATAGCAATATGTTAATTGTCACTTTAAACTATAACTTACAAACTGATCATTGTCTTCTGATATTTTCATTTATATTTATAGTTTTTACGCAAAGTTTTTGAAGTTGGCTAGATATCAAACTTTGAAGGATTTTAGAACTTATCCAATTTTTGTTGTTTTATGTGACTATGTGTGTATAATGACTTTGTTTTAGGTTTGGTAGTTCTTGAATTCAATCCTATAATCCAAGCTTTTATGCTATCAACTATATATAATTCATGTAGGGTAGAAACCACCTTGGCAAGCTTGGATGTATATAAGATTGGATCTTCTTTAGCCTTTGCAACTATTATCTTAGCATCTAATGTATTTAGTAAACAACATCCTAGATTTCATGCCATTTTTATTCTTAGTGTATACAATTCATAAATATGAATATTATCATTTCTATATGTTAAAAACAATTTGTATGCTTGAAAATCCTTCTGATTGCACTTATTAGTTGCAATTGTTAGTGTTGATAGGTTGAAGAGTTCTTCTACTTACATAATCTACATACATCCTAATTCTTAGTTTTTAAATTCAAAAGATTTTAATTAATAGTTCTTAAGTTCATTTTGTCTTAATATAGTCTAAAATACACTTCATTTTTTGGATCTTTTTTGTGATAATGATACGAGTTTAGTTAGTTTATTATATAAAATAACTTATGTAAGGAAAAATTAATGAAATAAATAAGAGGAGAAAAAACCATCTTTGATTGGCTACATTCTTTATTATTTTTATCAAAAGTGAAGCAAAATTAGAGTTCTTAGGGTCTTAGTAGAATGTAAAATGAATGAAATTTTAAGTGGAGAATGAGTTGCAAGTAGAAAACTATTAGTTGCTTTATGCAATTGTATTGATGCATTTAAAGATTATATTCGACCATGTGTATAATTCTTTCAAATTCATCTTTGTATACAAATTACAAATGAACTCAAGAAATGTTAATCTTTAGACTAAACACAATATTAATCAAGTTGTTATGAATGAAGTCAATTCCACATTATCTATTGCTATTTAATTTTTAATTTTTTTAATATATATCTTAATAATACAACTAAATCAAGAGTGTATACAATTTTTTGAGCTTTGTAGAAATTTATCACTACTAAACTTGTATTGATATTCTTGCAAATGTGGTTTTTGGAAAGAGCTGCTTCTTTTGGATAGACATGATGTAGATTATGAATGAGATCAAAAAATACTAATCAAGTTGTTATGAATGAGATCAAGAAATATTAATCAAGTTGTTATCAATGAAATTAATTCTGTATTATTTGTTGCCATTTAATTGAAAGATAGAAATAAATTTAAGCTAAGAAATAAGCTAGATGTTTATAGAAAGAAGAAGGTGTTTTTTTGTCATTTGAGGTGGTAGTGAGGCTAGATTTGTTTTTTATTTTTAAAATGACAATTTGAATTTTTTTTACATGGCTTATGTTGAAAGAATATATAAGTAATAGTTGAAAGAGGTGAAAAAGTGGGTGCATGAATTGAGAAAATGGTTGGATATAAATTTATATTAAAGTCAATATAATGTCAACAAATGTCTCAATATGTGTTGATTTGATGATGCAAATGATTGCATCAATAGGTTTTTGTAATAATGATTTTTATTTTATTTTTAGAAAGCATTGTGTCTAATCCTATGTTGTACAAGTTTCTCCTATGTCTATAATATATTTTTCAACTATTTCCAAATATACTTCAAGAAATTTGTTTGTTATTTTGGTTTTTTTGGTTTTTTTTTTCCAAAAACTGAAATTCACTCTATGTCTACTCACACAATCTAATCATCTGAATACATGAAAAAAAATCACTATTTTACTTGATACCTGTGCGATTTATTTTTAATAATGAATATCTTTAAAAGTTTATTATCAATTGCTGAAAATGGCACTATTTTTGAGCTTCATATCATTAGCAAAGTTTCCAGCTAATGCTTATTTTTACTAAAAAAAATAGACCTAATTGTGCTAATATTATATACTTCAATGCATTTGACAAAATTAAGAGACCATTGTGCTACTACCATGCAATAGACTCTATGAGTACAAAGATGAGATCTTATTGTGCAATTCTTGAAGAAACAAACTTTTGCTTTGTGATATGTTGAATGTCTACTAACAATCTCATGTAAAGAAATGAATGCAAGCTTTGTGGCACAAAATTTTGGATTTGGAATTTATTTATAAATAGAAAGAGGACAAGTGGTGTATAAGTATGGTAGCTCTTCTAACTT